CCAGGTTTTCATGCTGCAGAATCAAAAGCTTATGGCTTCCCAAGAGGCTCAGAGCCACTTTAAATATAACTTCTGATCCTTGGAGAAACATCATGTCTGGAGAAGGAGAGGAGAAACGTTAGGAAGAAAGTTCGAAGGTGACGGTTCTGTTCGTTTACCTGACGTTTCTGCTCATTTATTCTTTAGTGCAAGCGACAACGGGACAACCGGGAACCTGTCGGGTCCTGGTTCCAGAGATATTTCTTTATCAAAACAGAGACAACAGAACGACCACAGGTGAGCCCAAACGCAGGGGAGCAGGAAGAATTTTGCATTTCCAACAGGCTTCTCCAATGACTTCCCTTGTAGGAAACTGCTAGGTAGCGTTGGAAATTTAACAATCGCGGGAGCGTCGTGTGGTGGCACACTGTGACTGCGATGCAGCGGCGCTGAAGTGGCCCCAGCTTTGCCAAATTTAAATCCCATAGGAGTTGTGGGTCTCAAGAGTTTGGATGCATTCTGTAAGTTAGCCCGTTTTGAGGTTTGGTGATTCAAAAATTGTTGGCCTAAGGCAGAGGTCCCCAACCTTTTGGGCAGCATGGACCGGTTCCGTGGAGAGAGTTTTTTCCGCGGACCCGAGGGGGCGTGGTTTTGTGTGCTGCCTGCATCCCGCGAATGGGGCTTTGCTTGTTTGTGCGGACCGGTTGCTGGTATGCCGCGGCCCGGTACCGGTCCACGGCCCGGGGGTTGGGGACCCCTGATCTAAATCACTATATTTGTTAACTGCCCCTTTGGTGGAATATCAGGTCTCAATAATTTACGCCCGTATAACATCACCACAGATGGGGACTGCAGCCAAGAAATTAGAAGATGCTTGCTCCTGGGGAGGAAAGCTATGGCAAATCTAGACGGCATACGAAAAAGCAGAGACATCACCCTGCCAACAAAAGTGCGTATAGTCAAGGCCATGGCTTTCCCAGTTGCAATGTATGGCTGTGAAAGTTGGACCATAAGAAAGGCTGAGTGCCAAAGAATGGAGGCCTTTGAACTCTGGTGCTGGAGAAGACCCCTGCGAGTCCCCTGGACTGCAAGGCGATCCAACCGGTCAGTCCTGGAGGAGATCAACCCTGACTGCTCTTTAGAAGGCCAGATCCTGAAGTTGAAACTCAAGTACTTTGGCCACCTAATGAGAAGGAAGGACTCACTGGAGAAGGGCCTAATGCTGGGAAAGATTGAGGGCAAGAGAAGAAGGGGACAATGACAGAGAATGAGGTAGCTGGATGGAGTCACTGAAGCAGGAGGCGTGAGTTTCAATGGACTCCAGAGGATGGTAGAGGACAGGAAGGCCTGGAGGAACGTTGTCCATGGGGTCGCGATGGGTCGGACATGACTTCGCAACTAACAACAACAACCAACATCACCAGCAGGATTTTCTTGTTCTCTCTCAGCCCTTTCTCCTTTTGCCTTCATTTTTTTCCCCAACATCAGGGACGTTCCCAACAAGCCGCCCCTCTTCTCATTAGGTGGCCAAAATATTCAAACTTCAAACATCCTTAGGCATTCGTATGACTTACCAAACACCCGGGCGACAAATCCCAGGGGGAACTGGGAAGCGAACACGGTCAGAAACCAAGGGGCAGCGTAGAGGCTGGGGCTGATCTCATTGGCTTCAAAGTGGTTGTAGAGATCTTTGTGGTAATCATGAAGCAGTCGAGAAAGCTGATACATCTGGATCTGTGAAGCAATTTTTTTTAAAAAAGAGAAGAAAATATACAGAAGAAAGAGAGTTAGGACAATTCACACTGTAATTGTCAGTGGTGGATTGAGGGCGGTGTTTGCGCAGTCGGGATGTGCAGCGATTTGGGTCCAAAGTTGAAAAGTTGCTTTGGAAGAGAGATGGGGACAACTGCTACAACTGCATTTTCCCCAAAATAAAACTCAACCAGAAAATAAGCCCTAGCATGATTTTTCAGGAGGTTCATAATATAAGCCCCCACCCCAAAAATAAGCCCTGGTTAAGATTGTCAGCCAGACAGACGCATTTAGTACCGTATTTCCCTAAATATAAGACCTAACTGGAAATTAAGCCCTAATGCGTCTTTTGGAGCAAAAATTAATATAATATAAGACCCGGTCTTATATTAATTTTATCTTCTTAAAGCAGCTGCATCTATTCTATTCTATTCTATTCTATTCTATTCTATTCTATTCTATTCTATTCTTCCATTCCATATTCCATATTCCAATATCTATTCTATCCAATTCCTCTTCCTCTTCTATTCTATTCTTATTCCATATTCCATTCCATTCTATATTCCAATATCTATTCTATTCTATTCTATTCTATTCTATTCTATTCTATTCTATTCTATTCTATTCTATTCTATATTCCATTCTATATTCCAATATCTATTCTATTCTATTCTATTCTATTCTATTCTATTCTATTCTATTCTATTCCATTCCATTCCATTCCATTCCATTCCATTCCATTCCATTCCATTCCCTTCCAAGACTGAGTGGCTGTGGTTGCCGGCCCCCAGGTATGGTCAGCTGACTCCATCGCTGACTATAGGGGGCGAAACTTTGGCCCCCTCAGAGAGGGTGCGCAATTTGGGGGTCCTCCTGGATCCACGGCTGACACTGGACGACCAGTTGACGGCTGTGGCCAGGGGGGCGTTTTACCGGGTACGCCTGGTACACCAGTTGCGGCCTTTTCTGGACCGGGATGCCTTGCGCACAGTCACCCATGCTCTTGTCACCTCCCGCCTGGACTACTGTAATGCTCCCTACATGGGGCTTCCCTTGAGGAGCACTCGGAGGCTCCAGTTAGTCCAGAATGCGGCCGCGCGGGCGGTGATGGGAGCGACTCGTCGCTCCCATGTAACGCCGCTGCTGCGCGAGCTGCACTGGCTGCCTGTGGCCTTCCGAGTGCGCTTCAAGGTGTTGATCACCATCTTTAAAGCGCACCATGGCATTGGACCTGGT